CTTATGTGTATTCTCTACCTCGAAAGTACTGAAATGATTGTCATAAATCAGAATTGACTTGATGGTACATGGCTATTATTCCCATACAAATGTCTGGTGAATTCACATTGCCTCCTACCTCCATCATAATCACTGAGATTTACATCCTGATTGTTATTTGGCAGAAAGCATTCCTACACCATGTTATAAAACAGAAAATAGGAATCTCTAGGATCTAGATATGGGTTATTTATGTTTGTATTCCTGGGGATATAAATATGAATAATGGCACCACGAAGATCAATTTCCTTCCCCCAGAACCTACTGGTCCACTCACCGTTCACAGCACAATACTCAGCTCTGTTGTTGCTGTCATCACGCTAATCACGAAAGCAGCCCAGTTGGCTCTTCCCTGCTTCCCCATGCAGCAGACCAGTCATCAGTTGAGCCACGAGAATCCCTGTTCCACCTCCACACTGCAGTGATTGGCTGTGTGGAGAGGCGGGGAAGAGCTAACCAGACTCTTTGCACAATTGGCATGATGACAACAGAGCCAAGCACCACACTGCGAATGGTGAGCGGACCAGCCAGTTCTGGAGGGAGGGAATGGGCCTCCATGGCATCTGTAGTGCCACTATTTGTATTTGTATCCCCAGGGATACAAATATAAATAGTCCATGTCTAATGGGATCCCACTCCCGGCAGACTGATCATACATATAGCAGAGCTGTGCTTTGCACGGCTCAAATATGTGCAAGATTTTTCTTCTTTTTTTTTCCAAAGGATATGGTTCCTCAATTGACAAGGGATTTTTGACATTAGGATAAGAGGTACATGAAATGAACCTGAGGAACATGTAAGACCCACAAGTTGCTAACCTTGATAAAATATTTCTCAGTGAATTGAGTTTGTTATCTAATGGAACTCAAAGGCAGAGATGTAAGGACTTAATCATTCTTGGTGAGGCAGGCTATGTCAAGATATTGAGACAGCCTTTGGAGAAACTGCTAGAATCTGTGAGAGTTCTTTTCTGGAAAGGTTGTTTTGGTGTTTTTGGTTTTGGTCAAGGTTTCCATAATTGGTGCAAACACCTCTGCATAAACCATAGTCTTTTCCATTTCTGATGGAAAGTATGCATATCCAGCAAGCACTGAAGGACTGGCTGATTGGTCCAAAAGATGTGAACAACCTATACAAATACAGTACTTTAAAAGTTTGTGTAAAAAGATAGCCTTATGGCCATTTTGTGCAATTTATGTCAATTGAGCAAGAATCACACTCTCAAATGTGAGAACTCTGATGGAAAGAAATATAAATGATCTTACTGTTATGCAGGCATGGAGAAAAAAATGCAGCTTCTCTTTCTCACAAAGAAAAAAATAAGGATAGGTGAGGATTTACATTTCTACTGGAGAGGAATCCAGAGTTGGGAAAGAAAAGGGAGACAGATTTATGTCTTCATCTAAATAGCCTAATCCTTCTGTTAAGAGTCAGGCCCTGACTAGCATTCCAAAGCTAGACCTAGATGTTATCTTTATCAATGTCTTGACTTGGAAGCTGGGCTGGAAGTTCTATAGAAAGTTTTTTCCCCTCTCTCTTGATAAGGCCAAAAGAGAGAGAGAGAGAGAGAAATCATAGTAACAGAATATATTCTGAATTTTCTCTGGTTCTCTTTTCATTCACGAAATCATTTTAGATTCTCCTTGTTGAGAAGTGATGTCTAATTTTCTCTGTAGCTTTGGTGACTGTCTTCTTTCTTTTCTGCTTTTAAGTGGCATGACACCATTTTACGAAACCCAGCCAAGCAGCTCAGCCTCTATAAAAGATATAGATACAGATATATAATACCTCTCGTTCCCAGCTGAGAGCCACTGTAAGCCTACCAATTTTATTTTAGTATAGTCACTGATTCTTCAGTTATTTTATCATTCGTGCCTCACACATGGAAGATTTTACAAACTACAGTTGGGAGCTGAAAGTTCTGCTTCAAATCCATTGGATTCCAACATCTCAGTCCCTGGGTATACTGACTAATTTGGCACCAGGAATGTAATGCAGGAAGGCAGAAGAACAGAAGTGTGGCTCTTTGCTCTGAATTATTAGTTTTACCTATTTAGAGGGCCAAATGTTATGTCATGTTTCGCCCTATGTGCTTAACTTCACAGATGAGGATCTGATATAACAGCTGAAAGAAATTACATCTCCCACAATACCATTGAATTAGCACTAGGCTGAACATGGCTGCAACTGTTGTTTAGAGACGCCTGAAGAATTAAATGTTTTCAGCTACCAATATAAAGAGACTTAATTCATACCTCCTAGACTAGACTGAACTTAGTTAACCAACAGCTTTAACACTTCCCAAATGTTCTGAATAGAAAGCATCACTGTAGATATTGACACAACTCTTCTTGGCTGCTGTGGGTTTTTCGGGCTCTCTGGCCATGTTCTGAAGGTTGTTCTTCCTGACGTTTCGCCAGTCTCTCTGGCTGGCATCCTCAGAGGACAGGAGTAGGAACTCTGTCCATGCTCTGTTGCTGTTTGTTGGATAGCTGATTATTTATAGCTGTGGGAACAGCTTTTGTCCTTTTCAGGAAATAGAGCGATCAGCATGTTTTTTGTTGTGGATGTATTGTGATAAGTGGGAGAGATTATCTGTCACTGTGGTTTTTTTAAAAATTATTATTCTATTTATACCCTTCCTATCTGGTCATTGTGACCACTCTAGGTGGCTTACAACATACAATACAACACAAATATAAGAAAAAATTATAACACAATTAAACAATTCTACAAGATGGAAAACATATGAAATAAATTAATAGAGAGAGGAGGCGGTTGATGGGTGTCTTTAGCTGGTCTCTTTTGTGAATGATCCCTGGCCCTTGTGGCTGGGTAGAGTTTGTAGACCTTCTGCAGGCTGTGTTTTCCAGCACTGGAAGCCAGGCCTTGTTCAGTTTCAGACTTTCCTCTTTTTTGTTGATGCTATGCTGATATTTATGGATTTCAATGGCTTCCCTGTGCAGTCTAACATAATGATTGCTGGTGTTGTCCAGAACTTCAGTATTTTGAAATAGAATTTCATGTCCAGCTTGTTTTAGGGCATGTTCAGCTACTGCTGATTTTTCCAGTTGTTTTAGTCTGCAGTGTCTCTCATGTTTTTTGATTCTGGTGTGAATGCTTCATTTTGTGGTTCCAATATATACCTGGCCACAACTGCAAGGTCTCCGGTATACTCCTGAAGTGGTGAGAGGGTCCTTTTTTGTCCTTTGCTGACCGTAGCATTTGTTGTATTTTTTGTGGTGGGTCTGAATACTGTGTAGGTTGTGTTTTTCAAGTTTTCCCATGTAGTCCGTGACCCCTTTGATGTATGTCAGAAATGCTTTATTTGTGGGTGGCTGTTTTTCCTCTTCAGTTTGATGCTGTTTTCTTGGTTTGATGGCTCTTTTGATTTCATTCTTGGAATAGCCATTCGCCTGTGGGGCCCGATTTGGATGGTTGAGTTTGGTGCTGAGAAATTGAGCTTCACAGTTCCGATTTGCACAGTCTACCAAGGCTTTGATCATGCCTCTTTTTTGTTGTGGGTGGTGGTTGGAATTTTTGTGTAGGTACCAGTCTGTGTGGGTGGGTGGGTTTTCTGTAGTCTACAGACCGGTCTGTGGTGATGTCTTAACTGGGGCAATTTACCTCCAAATGTTACACCATTTCAGTAACTATGCAAGAGAATTTTGGCCATGATCTATGAATAAAATGACTAGTTGCTTCATAACTTCATGTGAATACAGTAATAACTGTATGTGTTAACTCATATACCCAAAAAATCTGCAGGGCAACATGTTCTTTATATGCAGTCAAGTCACATCTGACTTATAGTGAACCTAATACAGTGGTGCCTCACATAACGAGGATAATCTCTTTCAGCAAAATCGCTGTAGAATGAAATCCTCGTTAAGCGAAATAAAAAATCCCATTGAAACGCATTGAAAACCCGTTCAATGCATTCCAATGGGCTGAATAACTCACCGTCCAGCAAAGATCCTCCATAGGGGCAGACATTTTTGGTGCCTGTAAAGTGAGGAATCCGTCCAAAAACACAGCGAGGAGCCATTTTACACAGCAGGTGGCCATTTTGAAGCTGCCGATCAGCTGTTTTAAAAACGTCGTCTAGTGAAAAATCGGTTCCCAAAGCAGGAAACCGATTGTCAGGAAGCGAATTTTGCCTATTAAAACATTGTTTTGCGATCACAAAACAGTCATTGTATAGCGGTTTCGTCGTTTAACAAGGCAATCATTAAGCAAGGCAACACTGTAATGTTAGGGACGTGGTGGCGCTGCGAGTTAAACCGCAGAAGCCTCTGTGCTGTAAGGTCTGTAGATCTTCAGCTGTAAGATCAAATCCACGTGACGGAGTGAGCACCCATCACTTGTCCCAGCTCCCACCAACCTAGTGGTTTGAAAGCATGCAAATGCGAGTAGATAAATAGGGACCACCTCGGTGGGAAGGTAACACCATTCTGTGTCTAAGTCGCACTGGTCATGTGACCACGGAAGATTGTCTTCGGACAAAACACTGGCTCTGTGGCTTGGAAATGGGGATGAGCATGGCCCCCTAGAGTCGAACATGACTGGACAAAAATTGTCATGGGGAACCTGTACCTTTACCTTAATAATGTTTTCAAGATAAACATTTACAGTGGTTTTACTAGTGCCAACTCCCCCAATGTTTTTCCATAGCTCAGTAGGGATTCAAATCCAGATGACCAGAATCCTAGACTACCACCCTGTTCACTACAACACAGCAGGGATTTTCAACATTTTACCTGCTGGAAAGGGAGGCCAGTTACAGAAAACATTTTCCAAAGCAACTCCAAGTCCTTGACTAACAGAAACACTATGCCAGAACTTGGAAACACTACATATTTTGGATCCACCCTGTGGCTGAGAAGTTTAGGGATATATACTAAAAAATTACCATTACAAACTCTGCATGTCACCAACAAAGAAGGTAAGTATACACTTACCTTTTGATCCTGACTATAGGCCAGAATCCAGTCCTCCCGCTTGGGGTGGAAAAGCATGCTGTGGATGTAGAAGTTCAGCCTGTACTTTTGATAGGTGGCTCCTTCGTCAGAACTGATCAAGAGGCTGCTCTCAATCTCCGGGTCAGTAAGCAACATAATCTGTGTGGATAAACCAGAGGACAAAAGGAGTTTAGGATGAGAAAAGATGGAGAAAAAAGGTAAAACCTCTAAATCTCTAGGAAATCGCTTCTGTGAAAGGTTATTCCTTTTTGTGGTCCGCACAGCTGTGCAAAATAACACAAGTGTAGCAAACATAAACTGAAACAAAACAAAAGTGAGCTTCCCTATGGGAAAGGGATTTAGTAACTAAACAACCTACTCATCAAAACTTCACCAAATATCTCTATAATCCAGTCCATCATAAGGCATCGCTGCCTTATGATGGACTGCCATCAGTGTTGCTACAGAACATTAGATTTTTTTTTTTAAAAAAATCACATGGTCGTATACCATCAGGTAAGATGTGCCATGTGTTTTAAGTCTGATAATGTGTAACAGTCTTGAATTATATACAATCTATCAAGACACATTTATTTGAGGAAACAGGCTGTGGGTTGAGGGATGTACTTTGCCACTCACAAAATGAAGCAAAAGAGATACCAACATAGAGACAGAGCACTAAGTCATTTAAGAAAACAAAAGGGAACTCCTCCGATTCATTTTAGCAGTATCATATAAGCACAAAAGGAAGAGTGAGAGTCACAGCGAGAAGCTGTATTCAAGTGGGAAACAACAGAAAGCCATTGTCCTGCTGCTTTAATATACTGTACCTTGAATTCACAAATCACATTTTCCTGGTTTCTTTTTTCTTTCTTTTTTTTTGGGGGGGTAGCCCTACATACAGAACCTGTGATTGCTGGGAATAAATATTGATGATTTAATGATAATAGCAACTACTGATTATCCCCTGTTCAGTCACTTCACAAATGTACATGTCCTCAACATCACACACACAGTTGTTCAGTAAGCAGGTGAGCTAAATGTGCAAGCAAGCAAAGCAAGCTAGCCTCTCTGTTGGTGCTTTCCTCAAGCAAATTGACAGGAGAGAATCGAGGGTCTGACTGACTTGGAATGTCTTCATGTATTTTCAGGTCTCCTCTCTTTAGACCTGTCACAGTATGTGAGGAAAAGAATGAGGGAGGAGGTGGGCCTCACCCACTTTCCTTCTACATGCAGTTAGCTCACTTAGATACTGAATGACTAAACTGAGCTACTGGGATTCTCTTACACAGAAACAGTCTCTTTCTCACACATAAGGCTTTTCACATATATTTGGATTTCATTCTGTAAGACCTGTATTAGCTCTGGATGTGCTGAGTTGGAAATATCACTCTCAGCACCTCAAATATTAGAATCCATCCAACATTTTCTTCATTTGCTTTAATAGCTGGACATTGTAATTATTCTCCTTATCCTCCAGCTGAGTACCATTAAGGTCCTTCACATTTCACTTGTTTTTCATAGAGATGAGAGAAGATGTACAAGAATCATATGGATAAAGAAAGCGTAACTGGCAATTATGCTCAAATGGAGAGAAGTATATTTAAACATACAGTGGTGCCTCGCATTACGAGTGCTCTGTTTGACGACGAAGTCGCATCACGACGAAGATTTTGCAATTGTAAAAGCGATCGCAAAATGATGTTCCCTATGGGGGAATTTCGCTTTGTGATGATCGGTCCCCTGTTTTGCTAACCAATTATCGCAAAGCGATGATTTTCAGCCAGCTGATCGGAGGTTTCAAAATGGCCACCGGGTGAAAAACATGGCCACCCACTGTTTTCTGGCACGGATTCCTCGCTGCACGGGCAGCAAAAATGGCCACGCTATGGAGAATATTCGCTGGACGGTGAGTTTTAAGCCCCGAGGAACGCATTAATTGGGTTTTAATGTGTTTCTATGGGATTTTTTAAATCACATGATGACGTTTTCATTCGACAGCGATTTTTTCGGAATGAATTAACATTGTCATGAGAGGCACCACTGTATATTTACATTTAATTGGAAGTGTGTTCTAGTTTATACACACATCAGATCCCTAGATCCTCTGTCTTACATGTTTCCAGTTACATTGGTTACCTCGACATACGAACTTAATCCGTATTGGAATGGCATTAGTATGTCAAAAAGTTCATAAGTTGAGGCAAAGTTTCCCATAGGAGTGCACTGAAAGCCATTTAATCCGTTCCAGCTGTTTTTCGTTCTTATATCGAGGCACTGTTCACAAGTAGAGACATTAGTTCCCATAGGAACTAATGCAAAGCCGGTTAATCCATATTCTACCACTAGGGGGAGAATTTTTCTTCTTCTTTTGACCTAAGATGAACTTATGTCAAAAAAGGGAAGGAAAGGTTTTTCTCCGTTCGTAAGTTGAAGCTCCACTCGCAAGTCGAATCAAAATTTTGCAAATGGAGATGTTCGTAACTCAAAATGTTCGTAAGTAGAGACATTCATAAGTCGAGGTACCGCTGTACTTTTCTTCTCTGTTTTGTACTTAGCTATTACAGCCCAGCTCATTACTGTTTGCTGTCCTTAGGAACCCAAATACATGACTAGTAAGACTGAAATGAGATGGGTATAATAAAACATACAGCTAGTAAAATGAAGATAGGGCGCATAAGTCAAAACAAGTCATACTGATATGCATATGTAGAAAATAATGTGCTCTTTAGCCAGAATTTCTCACTGGCAAATAAGTAAATGTTTTTCAAAATGAATAACAGATTGCCTCCTTGGCAATGGAAACTACTATGGCCCCTAAATCAAGTCCTGGCTATGCATGGGCTCTCCTCTCCTGCATACAGATATTAAGCCTTTAAATCTGGGACATTGTTAATTGGGCAAGACTACATATCTACAACAATCCAATGCATTGAAGAAATTCTGCACTTCTGGCTTCTGGAACAGAAAAGTTTCCCTAAATGGGTTATGCAGCCTTTGGCATGTACATTTAGATGGAAATATATCAGCATAACTTCATGCTGGATGTCATATAAACAGTTTCAGTATTTCAAGAAATGAATTGACAGATGGCTAGCTTCATTACTCAAAACAAAATGAAAACTAATGCATATTAGCTCTCCATTTATTTCACCCAACTATGCAATTTGCATATTAATCTACCTGTTTTGCCATTTCTCTTTGTGTACAGACACATATGTTGCACACATATACGTGTCACAGAGATACTGTTTTCTATAACTGACATTTTAATTTGTATTATTTGTAGTCGAGTCAGTGAAGAAACTGTCAGCTGCATTGCTGTAGAGTTTTGAGGGGGAGGGATGGAAATTGTTCCAAATATTCTTTAATCTAAACTGAAAGCCTGTCACTAAAGTAATCACATTTAGAGCAAATCCATTCAACAATGATACACAGTGCAGACCTGTTCAGCAGGTCAGCTTGAGCAAGCTCTATATATGTGTGAATGAGCATATTATAGTCATGCGTATATACATTTGTACACATAGAAATTATACACAAAGTATGGAGGAGGCTGTGTATATAGCAGTCCCACTCCCTACTTTTGGGTGGATGAACTCAGACCTTGCTGTGATTCCTGTGTCATGTGACAAGTTCTTAAAAGGAGACTTCAGCACCTTTTCCCCCTAGGCTAACAAGAAATACCTGTTGAAAAACAGCCATGGCAATTGCTTTGTTTTTTGGATGAGATGTGGTTCACTGACGAAAGAGAGTCCATTTCTGAGATTTTCCCTTGCTTGTCTATTTGAAAATGTTAGCGAGCACCACAAGAGGGGATCCTGTAGACCACCATGACTGCTGACATTGGTGTCATGAACATTCAGGCTAGGCTTTGCAATGTAATATTTGGCATCCTTTTCCCTGCTGGCAACATAGCCATCATATTGCAAGGCAATGTCAGGACACTTCCTCATGTTTTAATATGTGAGCACAGGAACAATATTCCACATTCAAAAACCAGAGGTGTTTTTTTTTCTTAAAAGACTGAATCAAACATACAGAGAAAACTTCTGGCAAGTTGTTTCCAATTATGTTCTATATCATGGAGAAATGGAAGTTAGTAGCAGGAAGTCCGAACAGGTGGATTGCACTGTCTAGGAAATATATTCCAAGTTGAAAAAATAGCAAATATAGACTACTAGACAGTGCAATCCATATGTGTCTGATTTTTGTGATTTAGCCTCATTGGACTTCCTGTTATTAACTGCTATTTTTCTGTGATCCAGAATACTATCTCTTTCTCTGTCTCTCTATGGACAATTTAGGCTGCCTTTACTTGGTGAGACATTTTCAAACCCTTGAGAGGTTCTTTGCCTCTAGCTGAGAGCAAAATGAGGTATACCATTTTTTTCCCTTTAAAGTCTCAATAATTTGTGTAAAAATAATATCTTTCTCTTTGCAAAACACATAGACAGCAGATGCAGAATGATCAACTGATTACTCAAAAAGAAGTAAACCACTGCTTCTAAACATTAAAAGTCCATGCAAGAAAGCACCACCCATGTCCTTCATCATTGCATAATTTGCATCTAAGTGTTATTTAACCATTATAGTTGGAGGAGAAAATCATAGAATCATAGAAAAGTGAAGTTGAAAGGGGCCATCAAGTCCAACCCCCTGCTCAATGCAGGAAAAAAAATGTTGTATTTAATCCCAACTTTGAATGTTACCAATAATTTCCTTTTTCTGTAATGCAAAAAATTTGAGATGTAGTGGTCAGGTGGTCAACTGGTAAGATTAACAGAGCAAAAGCCACAAAATACACAAAACAGATTAAAATTATGGAGACTTTTTAGTAAATAAGGGCATGCCAATAAAATGGACAAATATTTAAAAGGTATGCATGTATGTACATAGAACAGAAATGAAATGTCTTTTCTAGGATGAAGCCAACATGCAAGTATGCATAAAAAAGTAAGCTTTTTTATCTGTAAGGAGCAAATATGCATGCGCGTGCACAGATATGTTACTGATTAAAAAGTCATCAGATTTGTCAAATCAGATCTTCACTTGACTAATGGCCTTTCAACAAATTCTGTGGAGTTAAGCTGTGCCAGAAATTCTTGATGACCTGGCATATGAAAGTTTTTGAAACCAAGATTTTAGACAGTATATGT